GTTCTCCCCTTTTCAGATTCCCAGCACTGATGAATTACAGCTATCATGGTACGTGAATTACAGCACAATTACTGCATAATTTATTTGATTTTTGTAAACGCAGGGCGCCGGAGTATTAATGGAGAGAAGATCAAAAGAGAGAAGAGTATCGAGGAGTCAGGCAAAGAATTAAATTAGGGGGCGCACGCACAAGTGTCTTTACCATTCTAACATCATTTAGTGAAAGTTTTCTCATAGTGATATATGAAAATTATACACAACCACGTTAAAAACGCAATTGTGCTCGAATTTTATTTTTTTAAAAAATATTTTTTATTTTTCTTAAAAAAATCACAACATGAAGTACAGAGATGCTTCATGTCATGCCATTATTATCCCTCCCAGTTTTTACTTTTTTGGCAAAAACCTTTCGGCTTTTTTGGGCAATCTTGTACTTTCTCACTATCTTCTCCATCCCCGGCCCATTTACCATAAAAAGGAAATTACTGGCGTGGGAAATTCAACATGTCCCTCGACATGGATATTCACTATAATAATTAATTATTATTTTTCCATTCCAGCATAAAATCACTAAACTTGTTATTAAAAATATTATGGTCTCTTCCACGTGCATAGATTATTGAGATCGATCACGAGCTATTTAATTTTGTTATTTTTTTAATTTAATAATGTAAAATTATATTATTCTTCAAAACAATAAAATAAAATAATATGTTAATCAAAGATGGTTTATTATTTTTATTTTTTATATACACGGTATAAAAACTATATTTTAAGAGTAATTTAATATTTTTATATTTTAAAAATATAATGTAGAGATTATATTACTCTTAAATGAAAAATTTATTGAGTTTGCCTTTAAAAACTTTGTTGTATTTGAAAAATATTTTTTTAATTATTAATAAGCTTACTAGGTGGTTTGATCTTTTAAAAAATATAAATACTTATCTAAATTTTTTTTATGGCGCATGTTATGCATACACTGGAATAATGTATGCAGCATCGTTTTACGTTCGAACACTTTTATTTAAGATGGTTTTACATCTAAACACTTCTATTTAAGATGGCGTTAGAAGCATCTCACTATAATTTTTTTGTTTAGTAGAGTAGTGATATTATAATTTTTTTGTTTAGTAGAGCGGTGATTGAATTCTATTAGATATTTATATTCTCCTTTCTCTTTTCTTTTTTTTAGCAAGAATGTGTCATTTTATTTTTTTTATATTCAATTTGATCATTATTTTTTATTATTTTTTATTTTTATTATTATTTTTCTTTTTGGCTTCATCCCTCGTCATTTGACTTTATCTATTTATTATATCAAAATAAATCTTTATTATTTTTATTGTTGTTTTTTTTAGTTGAATTTTATTTTTAATTTTATCTCTTAACATTTAATTTCAAATTATTTTTATATTAAAATTAATCATCGTTCTTTTTATTGTTATTTCTTTTATTTTATTATTTTTTTAATTTCATTGCTCGACATTCTATGAATTTAGAATCTTACTGCATTACTTTTTAGAATTTTTCTTATGTGAATGGTTTTGAGTTTATGATTAAGGTCAAGTTTAGAATCTTGCTGCATTACTTTTTATATGCGAATGGTTTTGAGTTTATGATTAAGGTCATGAATTTTAAAAGTTAGTAAGGTTGAATTTGATTTTTTTAAAGTTATTTTTAAAATAATTATAAATTAATCTTTATATTTATTTATTTTTACTTTTTTTTCAATAAAATTATCTCAAACTTATATCTAAAATCATATATTTAGTGAGTTAAGTAATATTTACTTGAATTTTTTTTTGTTATTTCATTTTTTAGTTTTTTTCTTTAATATTGATTTATTTGATAATTGTGATTTGTAGTTTTATTTTAGTTTGATTTTGGTGAACTTCATTTTATCAACTTTTTTTTTATTCATATTATTTTAATTAAATGAGCTCATTAAACCGTGATGAGTAAATGAAATGACTCTTGATTTGTTTTTGCCCTTTCAGGAACACTTTAGAACATGAATCTACTATACTGTCATTCGTAATTCAAGACTTTCGTGATATAGATTAGAAAGTTCAAATCAATTAGAATAATGTCATTTCAATTTAAAAGAAAACGACAGAACAACATCGAGTCTAGAAATTTCTATAAAAAGGTTAAATTGAATTTGGCAACTTTAAGGTTTTTTTTTTTAAAATAGATCATATTGATATTATAATATGTACTAAAATGCCTTGAACAATCACCATAACACTTTTTTTTCCATCCTTGATTTTTTTATGGCATCTTTCTATACCCAAATCGAGAGGCATGATTTGTTAAAATTTGTTAAGTTTAGGACAAATTAAAAAATAGGGACCAAAGTATAAACAAACAAAGGAATCTCATTACCATTCTTAGTTGTTATTCAAAATTCATTTTTACCCTCTTACTTTCTCTTTTCAACCTTTACAATTCCTATAATTTTTAAAATTTTAATTTTGATCCTTTTTTATACTTTATGAGATCGACAGGGATAAAAAAAAGGTTACTAGATTCTAGAAAAAAAAAGAGATAAAGTGATTGATTGTTATCATTTCAAACATTAAAAAGGTGAATTCAAGTTTCAAAAAATTCATTTTGATAAAAATTATTTGAAAGTGATTGTTTTAAATCTTGAAGATGAAAGATTAAACTTAAGAATTTTTTCTTTTATCTAGTTTGATTTTATGTTATTAGGTTATTTTTTGAGTTTTTTAACTTGATAGATTAGCTTTTAAATGTTAAGAGGATGTTATTTAAGCAAGAATGTGTTTTTAATACAAAAAACAACCCATGATTTTCTATACTTGGAATTAGGGTAACAATAGATGAACTTTTTTTCTCCTCAAAATAAATGTTTTTTTAAAAAAAAACAAGTTAATGTATGTTTATCCATGCTTGAGACCTATATGTTCATGCTTTTTATTTTTAAGGTCCAAGCATATTGGGTTGCCCAGTTTAGGCTTGGCTGTAAATTTTTTTTGTCCTTCAATTTTTTCTTCTTCTAATTACATTATTTACCCTTTTTTTTAAAAAAAAATTCTTTATTTTTCTTACCATGTATTTAGTCAATGTTATTTCTATTTTTTACAATTAGACTTATAAAAGTCCATAACTCGGATGGTGAATTATACATATTAACTTACAGAACATGGATGAATCAAATATGTTTTTATTTTTTTTTATTTCTTGTTTATATTTTTTTTTTGTCATCATATGTTTTAATAAAAAATAAATGTAAAAAAATAAAATATTTAACAAAATAAAATTAATGACCCGATTCACGAGTTTGGAAGGTTAAAATAATTAATTTAATATACTATTATTTTAATATTTTTTAAAAATATTTTAAAATAGCCGTCATTATAGATTTTATTTTGGTTTCTATAAAATTAATTAATTTTAATTTATTTTTAAAAATTAATCAGAATTAACTCAATAAATATAACATATCATCGTGTTATTTTTTTTTAAATCCATTTTCTTAGATTATTTTTTTGGTTATCTAAGTTTTTTAATTGAAAAATAATTTGCAATCAGTTACCCAGTACACAACTAGACAAATGTTTAATAACCTTTGTAAAGAACATGTCATCCTCGTTGATCGATCATCTCTGCATGATCACACACATACGCTCCATCGTCACGTGTATGACCCACACTCCCCGTGTACATAAAAAAGCATATAAATTAATTATGAGATGTAAAGTTTAATTGGTAAATTTTTAAATTTTTAATTTAAATTTTATAAATTTTAAAATTATTAAAAATTTATATAATTATTAATTTTAGAATTCATGATATTAATAAAAAAAATTATTTCCATTAATTTAGTAAATAAGAGTAAATTAATGGTAATGATTACTTTGAAATCTTGCAAAGGTTAGAGTTTCTGCATGCAACCGAAAAAGTTACGAAAAAACTGCTTTTCGTGGGTTTTTTCCTTACAAAATATCATACTTAATTAAAAATATTAATAGAATAGCATAATTAAAAAAATAATATAATTTATACTTTTTATAATTTTAAAAATAACAACATCCTTTCAAAAAATATTAAATGGTCATGAGAGAGGAGAAAGAGAGAAATTTTTTTTAGAAATATACTAAAATTTTAATTATAATATCACTAGTGTCATAATTTGTTTTTAATAAAATAAATTTAATAACAAAAAAATCATAAATATCAATCTTAATGGACAATACTTCTAGATAAAGATGTGTAAGTCACTTTTCATATTCAGAGGACAAGTGTGAATTTGTATTATTAAATTTATTTTATTAAGATTTTATAAATAATAATGATGATATATTATCATCAGAATTTTTATATATCTTTTTTTCATTGTATCTTTCTTCCTCTCTAGGGTCTATTTAATATTTTTAAAAAAATATTATTATTTTTAATAATACAAAGTTATAATAAAAATTACATTTTTCAGTTCAATTATAATATATAAACTGTGATATTTAGCTATTTTTTTGGACTGCATTGTTTTTAATGTGCTGAAAATTAAAGGTAAGATTTTTATGGGTTATGTTCATGAATAGTTAATTTAAGGCCTGTTTGAGAGTGTGTTAGAGATTTTTTATTTAAAAATATATTAAAAGATTTTTTATTTTTTAAAATTTATTTTTAATATCAATAATAAAAAAATATAAAAATTAAGTTAAAACTATTAAAAAAATAAAAATTTAAAAAACACAGTTAATCACTTATAGCTAAACCCAACCTTAACTTCTAGCACTTTCCAGGCACACTGACCCAAATCATCAATAAACTCATCCCATTACCACCGTAAGCCTGCAAGGGTATTTTCGTCATTACGCAGAAAAACGCAGGCAAAGGACATTCTTAGCAACTTTAGAAAGGAGAGACAAAGGAAAGTGTCATTTATTTCGTCTTTTTATTTCAACCAAGAAAGAAAGACTCTGAGAGACCAGACAGACCGGAGGGAGAGAAAGAGAGAGAGAGAGAGAGAGAGAGGCAGCCAATGTATTGCTACTAGTGTACTAACCTGTGTTTCTCTAGCAGTTGCATCGCCGGGAAACCAGTCTTTCCCGTTGTTTTCCTTAAGCTAACCGCTCTTAAATCATCGGAAAATCACCATGGAAGCAAACGGCTCTGTTCAGTTTCCGGGAACCCTAGACCCAAGAGCACAAGAGTTCAGGCCTAGACGTGATAACCTTCACAATTTTCCCCCAAAGTTTATTCCTTTCGGACCGCCGCCTCCGCCTCCGCTGCCGCCGCCACCACCACCACCGCCTTCGCACCAAGTCTACTACCCCTACACCCCCCAAGCGTTGCCGTTTAGCGACTTTGTAGGTTTCGCTCAGTATGATCATCATATACCTCCGGCGTACGTTAGCGTGGAACCTCCTCCCCCTCTTCCTCCTACTGGGGCGCCAACTCGGACTCTGGTACTGAGTTCGGTGCCGCGCGAAGTGAACGAGTCATTGATTAGGAGAGAATTGGAGGTTTTTGGAGAAGTTAGAGGGGTCCAGATGGAAAGAGTAGGTGATGGGATCGTGACCGTTCATTTCTACGATCTAAGACATGCAGAGAGAGCCTTGAGGGAGATACGAGAGCAGCACATGCAGCATCAAGCCAGGCTAAGGAACTTCTTTATTCAAAATTCCGAGAGCATTAGCTTCAATATTGCACCAACACCACCACCGCCGGCGCGTGGTGTAATTGCTGGTTGTGTGGTTTGGGCTCAGTTTATTATTCCGTCGTGTAACGAGGTGCCTGATGGACAGAATCAAGGGACCCTTGTGATCTTCAATTTGGACCCCAATGTTTCTACCCGAAGCCTTAAAGAAATTTTCCAGGCTTTTGGTAAATTATTTGTCTTCTTCTGTTTTCCAAAATAAAACTGAGATTTTTCCTCTCTTCTGGTCATGTTTCAAGTCAATTTGTTAAATGTGATGGGTCACTTTCCTGGATTATTTTTTTTAAGCCAGCAAGCTGATTTTTTTGGTTAATTTCCCATTTGGCAGGTGCTGTCAAGGAGGTGAGAGAGACACCTTTGAAGAGGCACCAAAGGTTTATAGAGTTTTACGATGTTAGAGATGCAGCCAAGGCCCTTAGAGAGATGAATGGAAAGGAAATTTATGGAAAGCAAGTTGATATCGAATTTAGTCGCCCTGGTGGGCATGGGAAGAAGTTTTTTAATGCCAGGCCCAGGGCCACTTCCAAAAACTCCTTTACTACTGTCTTTGACTCCACAACAAACCTTCGCCATTCCAAAGTTGCAACCTTTGTGTCTCCGCAACCTCCACCATTGCTTCATAGATTCTCCTCCGGCTTCTCGCCTCCAAATGTTTCCCCTCGCTCATTTCTGACGGAAACTCAATCCTCAGCTGGAAAGAAACCGTCTGGTGATCCTAGCGAAGGAAACCCTAATGAGGTTTCAATTGAAGCTTCTTTGGGGTGTTTGTCATTGGGTGGAGAAGTAATTGTTGGGAAGGTTGCTGATCGTGGCCCTCCAAAGAGAAGTTTAAAAAAGAGCCAGTCTTTTACATCTACAAAGCAGCAGCAGAAGAGTGCTAAGTCTTGGAAGGGATCAAGGCAAGCGAAGAAGCTTGATAGTCGTTTTCTTATAAGCGATGAATCCATGGTGGAAACCAGCGGTAGTGATTCCAGGACCACTGTCATGATCAAGAACATACCCAATAAGTACAGGTTGGCTTTCTTTTCCACTACACTGTACAACTAACCAATAAACTAATAATGTTGCAGCGGTTTTGTATTACTATATATTTGAGACTTAGAGAGATTTTTTTTACCAAGATCTTTTAATTAGGAGTGTTTATATATGGAGAGGTGATTCATGAATTTTTTATTAATGAATTATTGCAGTCAGAAGCTGTTGTTGAATATGCTGGACAATCACTGCATTCACTGCAACGAGCAGATTGCCAACGGGGATGACCAGCCCTTGTCTTCTTATGATTTTTTATATCTTCCAATTGACTTCAAGTGATTCCCTTTTACGTTAACCTTCATTTATTTCCTTTCTTTCATTCTTCAATTGTGCGAGGTTAGGGTTCTTTGGCATTCAAGTAGCTCAAGACAATTGAGTTTCATACACTCGGGTACTGGTGTTGTACCATCGCTGAATATTTTTGTTTGTGAAAACAGCAACAAATGCAATGTGGGATATGGGTTCGTGAACATGACGTCCCCGCAGGCAGCGTGGAGGCTCTACAAGGCCTTTCATAATCAACATTGGGAGGTCTTCAGCTCTAGGAAAATCTGTGCAGTGACTTATGCTAGAGTTCAGGTATTTCCTATAATCTCTTTCAAAATCTCTAAGCTTGAGCAATATTGGAGCATGTATTGCTTTGTCCTAATTGTATTATCTTATGGTTCCAAAAAAAATAAAATTCGTACAAATGATTAAAGGGATTGGAAGCGTTGAAGGAGCACTTTAAGAACTCAAAGTTCCCATGCGAGATTGACCACCACCTGCCAGTTGTCTTCTCTCCTCCTCGAGACGGGAGGCAACAGACGGAGCCTCTTCCCATTATTGGCCACAAGCACAATCAACAGCCCATCAATATTATTCTTGGTGACTCAATAGCGTGCACCCACCATGAGATAGACGGTGTGAATGATAGCCTCAAGACCTGCAACAAATTATTTGGTGACACTGACCAAGGAGAAAACCAGCTCAAGTGCAGCAGCAGCAGCCAAAATGACGGCGATATTGGTGATGATTATAAAGACAGTAGCAGTGGCAGCAGCTAGCATGGTGGCATACTAATTGAAGTGGAGAGGGAGCTCCGCGATTGATTCTCTTGGATAACTGAGAAGATTTGAGTATCATACATCCACCCGCCAAACCAACGACGCTGTTTCCATTACATGCCTGCTGCTAAAAACAGCTTAAGCTGCACCACCCAATGAGATGCTTGTTGAGCTCCGAGCCCTCCACTCTCTTACATATTAAAGCCCATGGTCACATAACAAGCCTAAGGCGTAGCTTTTATCTGTCCTCACTCACGCAGGCTAGCTACCTGTATATGACCTGACCTGACCTGACCTGACCACACCACCATCACCTCCATTTACTCTCTCCCTCTATTGTATCTTAGCATTTTTTTTTTAAAGAGATTGTATTGTAGAAGCGCTCTCTTCTCTGATAATGAAAATTGGACAATTCGGGCAATTAGTATATAAAATGCAAATAAATTGTGAATTAACACCTCATCAATTTGTTTTATTGTTTTTGCGAAATAACATATTTTAATGATGTTATGTCGTGGTTTAAAACCGTGATATTAAATGAAAATTTATGGTTTAAAATTATGTTTGATTGATTAAATATTGTGGATGTTAACTGTGATGAAGTATAATTTTGTCATGGTTTAAAACTTCAGAATTGTAGCATTTAATCAAATTCATTACAGACTTGGTTGTTTCACAAAGTTGGTTAAACCGGCAGCAAGTTAACATTGAAAAGCAAAGATGTATAAAATACATTTTAAAATAAAAAATCCAGGACATGTTGTTAGGCAAAAATTATCCCTTCAACTCGCGTTTTAAAGTCTCTCATGTCTCCATTTTTAGCCTACAAGAATTCAAGTCCTCTTGAGATATATTGTTGCGTTGTTCATTTGCTCATCCAACCTGACCTTGGTAGCATTGAAATAGTGTTCTATATCTTACAAAAAATTCTCTAATTTCTTGGAACTTCTAGCACCTCCAAATGCTTTCGATTCTAGAATCTTGAGCTTAGACATACCTGTTTCAATAAAAGTATTTGCCACAGCCTTTTTCAAAATTACAATTGCTTTCTCCGTAGCTTTCAATTTTTCACTCGTTTCTGCTATAAGACTATATACAAGCTTTCAGCTCGTTCAACACTTTCAATGGCTTCCTTCAACTTGTTATTGAGAGAGCGTTGTTTTTCATCCTTTGAAATTAGCCCTATCAACTCTTCAAGTCAAGCCATTCTTTCTCGGATTGCCTTCATAGTTCTAGGCATCCAAGTTCAGCCACTAACTTCGCAACTATTCCTACGATAGCTTTTGTGATAATCAGTCGATCAATTCAAACAATTGAATCAACCAACTGACTAAATGTACTAAAAGATTGGTAGTGAGGCTACTCACAACTACAAATTTCCTTAACATCTAAATCAAACTAAAAAATATTTTTTTATGAGATTTATTATTTACTTTGTTAATCTGATTTCTAATTTAGTTAATGGTTTCAAAGAGTTATTTTTTTTTTAATTTTAACAAAATTTGAACACAATTTCTCTTATATATTAACTACAAAGCACTGATATGTCATCGTGACCCTCTCGTAGTATGAAGCCAACCTAATATTAATAAAATATTAATATTAAATTAAACATTTTATAGTTATAGTGCAATTTTATTTCATATTGTATGATTGCAATTGTCATTGAAAGCTTATTTATAACGAGGGTTGATATAGCATTAACAATAAAATTTGCATGGTGATCTTTTTTGACAAAAGTCGAAACACATGTGCATGATTCTTTTAACTTTGTTATCTCAAATAAATTCGATTTTTTATGATATCCCTCACGCCAATGTAACTTATATTTAGATATTTGCACACATTGTAATTGAATAAATATAGAGTTTGATTATTAGACTCAGTATTCAAGCGAATGTGTAATGTATCATTTTTTAACTACACTAACCAATTCATTTTTATTTTTGAATATTTGTCTAACATCCAAATCAGATTCTCTTAGCATACATCTATAACTAAGTGCCTAGTCATTAGAAACAATAAAATTACACCTAAAAGCATCTCTAAATTCCAGAATAGGAGGTATGATTTTATTATTAACATCACCATCAATATTTGCTATCATATTCGATTATAATATATCATTATATTCATCGTCACTAAGCTTATAATAGTCAAATATATGTTGATCATCAAATAAATTATCGAACATAATATCATATATTTTTTGTAACAAACCATCTGACAATAAACTATTTTTACCTTTACTAATTAAATTTGAAGGACTAACAGAAGTTAGGACACATACATGTTTTGACTAATTGAATTTGAAGAACCAACAGAAGTTAGGACACATACATGTTTTGGTCGGATATTTATATACTATATCATCATGTTTAAACTACTTTGGATGAAAGAATCAATTATTGTTTTAAAACTGTCATCACACACAATCAATATAGAATAAAACTAATGTTCACCAATATGACATCTTATTTCAACATCAATATCATTATAATTCCACTTAAGCACACAACAAATGATTTCTTTTATTTCTACAAATGACAAGCATAAATTACCATTTAAAAACAAACTACTCTAGCCATTGTATGTCATACCACTATTCACATCATGAACAATAGTGACTCCATAATAACATAACATAAATATGGTATAAGATATTCTATTTAAAAAAATCAGATTCTGGTTAATTAGATATAATTTTAACTAAATTGCATTACCCCAACTATAATTCAAAAAATTCATAGCAAAATCAATAAAAATCCCAAAACTTAATGTTAAAGCAAACTTCACCAAAAATCAAACATAATTCATTATACGAAATCTAATTGATATTTTCATACTTAATTGCATAAATCAAACCCAATTTCACAGTAAATTAATATAATTATAAGAAAATATCAAATTCATCAACTTATCAATGATTTAATGGAACATGTAATTCATCATAATTCTATTGCATTCATGCTCTCTTGCATGAAATCATTAAGCATGGTTGGTTATATTATTAGCTAATTCCAATAATACACATAAAATCATTAATTTAGAAACTTAAACAAAATTAAACGAAACATCTAATTTATTAAAATAATTAATTCAACTTATTTTCATGTTCAACTATATCAAATCAACTCTAATTGATAATATTATTAACTAATTTACCATTAATTAAAAACCCTAAATTCATCATAAACAAAGCAATTATTAATATTATTAATTAATTTACCATTAATTAAAAACTCTAAATTCATCATAAACAAAGCAATTATTTTATTGTAACCAAACAAAATATAAATTCATAGAAATGTAGAATGTTTACCTTGTTTGTAAAACTAGAAAAAAGACCGGTGTGGTGACAACGGTGTAGAGAAATAGTGAGATTTTGAACGCAAAAATATCCAAGGATACCTAAAGACTAAGATGAGTTTTATTTTTCACTGTTTTAAAAGCAAAATAAAAATATTTGATGGGTTTTTTAGAGAAATAGTGATGGAGTTTGTCAAGTTTGGAGAGAGAAAATGCTTTTAGTTTATGTGATCTTCGACGTAAGATAGTTTAATTTTTAATTGATGTTGTGCTTTCCAAGCATGAAAAGACCAAAATATATTATTGATGTCGTGCTTTACAAACATGAAAAGATCAAAATATACTATTTTATCAAATCTTTTCTAAATAATATTATTTTGTTTAAACTTTAAGTATATTGTGCTAATTTAAAAAAAAAATGATGTAAAATGTAGTGCTGTGGCATATGCATTTTGTTCTTCCTTAGTTTTACTTGAAAGTTTTTTAATGATTGGTTATGATTTTATTTTTTTATTTAAAATTAAGAATAGATTATTATTATTATTATTATTATTATTCAGTAAATAAAAACATTGGAAAAAGCAGTTTTATATTTCATTTTCTTCGATTGAAGGGAGGGAATAAAATAAAAATATTTTAGGGTTTACGTTGAACGTTCAAAGGAAAGAGAGGGAAAAACCAATGGATAAAAGGAAGCCTTCATTCTTCAGCTGTTCAGGGCACTGCTGATGGGCTACCAATCACTTGTAAGTGCACGTCGCTCTCTTCTACTATTATCAATGCTCCTGCTGTCATTTTCACACCAAAGGTCGGTCTTTGCTTCCCTGGCGCACTTTAGCATCATCTCATGCAGTAGAAAGAATGGTCATAAAACTTGGGCGGACCGGACTGGACCCGGTCTCTAGTTCGGTTGAGTTTTAAAAAAATCGACTTCCAATTTTCTCATGCAGTAGAAAGCATGGTCAATATTTTTTCTATTTATTTTTATATTTAAAAAATATTTTTTTTATATATTATTTTGCTATACTAATATCAAAAATAATTTTTTTTAAATAAAAAATATTATCTTGATATATTTTCAAATAAAAAACACTTTTAAAAATAACAATAATCATATTATCAAACATAAAAAAAATTAGAAAAATTAATTAGAAAAACATATAAAAACTGCTGTATAAAACCTGTGTTTCAAACCTAATTTTTTAATTGCTTCAGTAGCATAAAATATAGTTTGTTTTGTTACCAAATATATATATTTGTGTATGTTTCATTGCTAAGATGAAAACTAATGAAAAATAAATGCACTTTTAATAAACTTAAAAAATTAATTTATAATTTAATTAAAATATAATTTGATTAAAAAAATTTAAACCATCATCTCTATTTAGAAAATGATCAATATCAAAGAATAAAAATCAAACAAATCAAGGTAATAAATAAATTATTTCTATCTTCTAATTAAAAAGGATGAACAAGCATCATCTTTGTACAATTTGTTTTATTCTATATTTTTATATGTCCCTTGTTGCTTGTTGCGTGGTTATATAAACTGTTAATTAATGTAAAACATATAATAAAATTATAAAATAATATCATTCTCTTATATTTTAAATTTTTATATGATATCAAAGTTAGTTTCATCTATTAGGTGTTTAGAGAGATTAAAAGTATGTGTATAGCAGAAAAAAAGAAATTCCAAAAGAGAGTGGATGAGCAAGGACATGAAAGAAAAAGAAATGGAGTTGCAAGGTGAAAGAGCCAAATAAAAAAATTGAGATTTTCTATTAAAAAAATAGAAAAAAACCAAGAAAGACTTTTGCAAGTTGATAAATTGTTGCATAAAAATTAATGTGATTCAAGAGAGACTGCCAATAAAAAAGATAAAAGAAAGCTCTTCCTTGAGAAGGAAAGATGACAAAGAAGCTACACACACATATATATTAGTGAGTCAAAACTTAAGCTATTTTAAATTTTGAAAAAGAAATGTTTGATTAAAGAAATATAACAAAAATCACTAGAGAAAAAAAAATACTCATGAGTAGCCATGTATTAAAATTATTATGAGTAGCCATGTATTAATGTATACCAAACTCATGAAAATTAAAATTATTATAAATTTAAGGAG